ACATGACAAAATTTAAAAAACGAACAACATGCATGTTTTAAAATAATAAATTTAGAGAGCATGTTTTTTACAGCGAACAATAACAAGGAAGGTGTTGGATGCGTAAGTCATTTGGATGGGGAATCCTACTTTTAATCATACTATCTGCTTGTGAACCGGCTCCGCTTGGGAGCAATCAGCCCCCCGAAAAATTAATTGGCGCATGGTCTTCACAGAGTTCAGTAAAAAGTTCTTCTGTCGCGAGTTCCGAGCGTTTTTCAAAGGCTTGTGATAGTTTTGAGGTTTCCAATCAGGGAGTTTCAACAGGTCTTTTCAAAATCACTAAGGAGGGCAAAGTTCTTGCTGCCCGCGAAGTGAAGGATACCACGCAGATTTATCGAGAAGACGGTTATGTGGATGCTTCAGGCCGATTCTATCCGACAGCCCAAGCGCTGCCCAAATATTTGGGCGAAATTAAAGTTGTGGCCGACCAATATGCAATGCAAATCGATTCCAAACTTACAGTGACCTATTTCGAAGATCCTGTTCGTGGACCCATGGTGGAAATGAACGTCGAAGCCGTTTTAACTCGTGGTTCGGTTGTGCAAAACTATAAACTAGAGCCACAATATTTTTTACAGACAAGTGAGTCCAGCGAAAATTTTCTTATCAAAAAAATCACACAGTGTTTACAAGGGACTTAAATCGACTTCAGCTGCAGCAGTTATCGACAGGCGTTTTCAAAGGCCTGAATTGTTTTGTTAGAGCCGCTCAGAGAAAAGGGTACGCTCAGAGCTACGGTATTTGAGAGAAAATCAACTTTAGCTGCGTTTCCCGCCTTAAGAGCTGCAATCAGAGGCGTTGTGTCCGCATAGCGACTGATGAGGCCCTTTGTTCCAGCGCTCATTTGAATCAATGAGAGGGCTATGGGTTTACTATTAATTTTCACACTTCCTTTATAAAAGGGAGTGCTTAGCGACGGACTAGTGACCACCAAAAAAGGCGAGGAAAATGTGCCGTCGGCCTTGATGAGCTTAACGATCTTCAGTTCAGAGATTGCACCACTTGTTTGATCACTGACTTCTGTGGCCGCTAAACAAATAGGAGAGTTCAGTTCAGTTGAGAATTCTTTTGCCGCTGTCCAATCCTTGTTTTGTGCGATAATTTCGGGGGCCATTTGAGCCTGTGCAGAAAAAAGAATATTAAGTGCGATAAAAAGAGTATTCATAAAATTCCTCCGATTAGGGTACGGTTAGAGTTTTCAAAAAATCATTGAGAAAAACATCGTTTTCTTTTTCTAAAGTGAGCACAGTGCTCTTTGCTAACTTTAAGTCGAGCTCCGCCTGGGAGGCGGCTGCAGTGGCTGTTTGCAGCTGACTTTCAAGGTTAGGGATTTGAACTTCAATTTGATTTTTTTGTAATTTGAGGCTGTCAATTTGTAGGGTGAGATCCGCTATCAACTGGGGAAGTTGACTTAAAAAAATGAGTTCCTTATCTATAGCCCTGTTTCGTGCGAGCAATGAGCTTTGTTGATTTCGTAGGCTAGAAATAACGGACTCGATATCAGAAATTAAATTTTGTTTATTATGAATCTCAGAGACCTTTCCATTTATGCGAATTTGCAGAGAATTGATTTGTGATTGCGCTTGATTTGCTGCGCTTTGTTGTTGAGCGGCCTCGGAATTTTTAATGTTTATCTGTTGTTGAAGATTAGAGCTCTCAGATTTTAAATTTTGCATTTGATTGCGCTTATTTTGAATTTCTTGTTGGAGGAAAGATTTTTGCGTCAAATCCACACTGACATCAAGTTGCGCCTTTAAGTTTTGTATTTCAGATTGTAAAAAAAGAATTTGATTGTCTTTAGAAGCTTTTTGGTTTTGTAAGCTGGAGAGTTCGTTGTTGATTTGCGCAAGTTGGTTTTTAGCGAGGGACTTCAGCTGCTCTTGGGTAGACATTTCATTTCTTAGGCTGACAAGTTCGCTTTCTAAAATTTGCAAGTCTGATTCTAAGGGAGCCAAGCTATTTTCTTTGGCAGAAATTTGTGCCGTTAGCGAGTTAATTTGATTTTGGTTTTTTATTTTTTCGGTGTTTAAGTTCGCTTCGGTGGTCGCTTTGTTAGCGAGCTTGTTATTGTAGGTCGTAGAGAGATCGGTACTTTCTATGAGGCGCTTCGATACAGTTGATAAATCTTTTTTTGCAGTGGCGAGTTGGGAAGTTGCTGTGTTTTTCTTAGAAGTGAGATCCGTTACAGATTTATTGAGCGCAGATTCGCGAGATAAGAAATCAAGGAGTGAGTCTGTGTAGACTTTATTTTTCATCAGAAAATCTTGTTCAGATAAGGCCAGAGACGAAAAGGAATAGAGGAAAGTGAAAATATAAAAAAACAGATACTTCATAAAAAGCTCCTTAGGGTGACACAAGTCATGTACCCGGAGATCCATAAAGGAACAACTAAAAATGTGAAGGCTCTTTGTTTGCTGAAACCAAAATGAAATAGTTTCAGCAAACTCTAGGCCGGATAGATCCAAGCCTGCATATAATACATTGCAGGCATCTGAGAGCCATAATTTTTAGAGATCGTAATACATGTGGAATTCGTAAGGAGTCGGTCGCATTTGCATCGGAATAACTTCTTTTTCCGTCTTGTACGAAATCCAATTCTCGATGAAATCCTTGCTGAACACTTCTCCTTTGAGTAGGAAGTCATGTTTTTGCGTCAGATTTTGTAAAGCCTGATCGAGGGTGGGGGGAACAGAGGGAACTTTCGCAGCTTCTTGCGGCGGGAGTCCATAGATGTCTTTGTCCAAAGGATCTCCTGGGTGAATTCGATTTTGGATCCCGTCAATTCCGGCCATGAGCAATGCAGCAAAAGACAAATAAGGGTTCGAGCCCGAGTCTGGAGTTCTAAATTCAATGCGTTTGGCTTTGGGACTATCTCCCGTATTGGGAATACGAACAGCAGCAGATCTATTTTTGAAACTGTAAGCCAATTTTACAGGAGCTTCAAATCCAGGAACCAATCTTTTGTAAGAATTAGTAATGGGGTTTGTAAACGCACAAAGCGAAGGGGCATGTTTTAAAATACCACCGACAAAATGCAGAGCCATTTCAGAAAGTCCCGCATACTGGTTCCCAGCAAATAAATTCTTACCACCTTTCCAGAGGGACATATGAACGTGCTGTCCCGATCCGTTATCGCCAAAAAGAGGTTTTGGCATAAATGTAGCCGTCTTATTATGTCTTCGCGCCGCATTTTTAACGATATATTTAAACCATTGGAGCTTATCGGCAGATCGAACAAGTTCGTCGTATTCGTAATTGATTTCGCACTGGGCACAAGCCACTTCGTAGTGATGGCGCTCAACAGTCATTCCCATTTTATCGAGTTCAAGACAGATCTCTGTTCTCAAGTCATGGAGATTATCTGTGGGCATGGAGGCGAAATAACCTTCTTTGTGACGCGGTTTAAAACCTAAATTATTGCCGCCCTCATCGCGACCACTATTCCAAGCTCCGGCTT